CCGTACCCACGCTATATATATATATATATATATATATATATATATGTGTGTGTGTGTGTTTCATATGTATGTATCATCACATAAGTACTTACAATTAAATTTAAATGTGAACATAAAAGCTAATTTAAAATAATAGAATATAAATGTTTCTAAAATAACACTACATTCCACACAAATTTTTTACATTTAGATTACCTGCGATCATCTAAAACTCACTAAATGTTAATCATTAAAAACTCTAACTACGTAATAATGCAGATTTTTTACCAAATCTCAAAATGAAAATTATAATTTTTTTCAGAATGAACATTATAATAAATATAAATAACAATTTTTTTATATAGTTATAAACAAATTGTTGTTCTCATGTAGCCATTAAAATGATTGATTTTAGTCAGTGTTTTATTTTTTATTTATTTAGACAAAAGAGTACAAAATTAGGATATTAGCCATTTATTGGTTATCGGCCATAACGTGATTATTGGCTTGTCTGTATCAGCCACAATTTAATATTGGTGCATCCCTGATTAAGTATGGTGGCAGTGCAGCTTTGTATATATTATTTTCATTCCCATTTATATTTCCAGACGACTCACATACACTATGTTAGTTGATTTCCCACATGTCTAGTGTGCTTAAATCTAAAACACATGAGAGGGATTTTCTGATCCTCACCTGTGTCGCTCTGAGAGTCGGGACTAGGAGTCAACTCTTCACTGCTCTCCGAGCCATGCGTGCTACCTGACCCCGCCACACCAGGTTTCCGCCCTGAAGTGGCAGCGCTATTGCTTATGGACTCTCGATGAGGTGGGACATTTGGTTTGGTTGGCTTTACTAGACCAAGAGAAAGTAAGAGAGAACAGATGAGAGGAAGAATCAAAAGCAACATGTCAAACATGCGCAATTATAAACAATTATTAAAGATTGTCAGATGATCATTGTGTGGTTCTAACAAGAAGACATGACCGATGGACAACTAGATGAAGGAGAAGGGGGCAATCAGGAGTTTGATCCGACAGTGTTAGTCATTCATTGGGCAAGGGCATTTCAAAGGTCCATCAAGCCCATAAATCTTAAGTAAATGGGGACCCAAACACGAACAAACAACACACACAAATCTGAAATCTGTTTGTGAATACATCACCTGTGGTATATTAAGATCATTAAAAGATTTGTAAGCAAGCATTAAAAAACACTTTTTAAAAACATTATCACAGCCAAAGTCACCTCAACCAAAAAACCAAATCAGATTTGCTAAACAGATGGATAAGGAAACGAAAACTACAGACAAACCCATGAGTTTGAAGTGGAACATGCAAACATGCATTAGATTTGATTAGCAAGGGAATGTACTATCCAAGAGGACAGAATCTACCCAAAGAACTGACCATAATACCTTCAAAGTCCAATCTAGTTTGCTTACCATCATCTGCAAGAGGAAAACATAGCAACACAAACAAGTTCCTTTAAATTCGACATCCATCTTTGATCTTGCAGGTATTTCAGTAAATATATGCAGAATATTTCTCATATTATAAGCTACAGAAGCACCTTCTGGTTTCTGTATACATTGGTCTCAATGATCTTAGCAGATGTTATTGGTAATTAGTGTAAATGGTTGAATGCACAGTGAAATAATACAGGTTTGGTCAATGAGCATGTGATGTAAGTTGATGTAAGTGACATTATGTAAGTAATGTGATGTGTTCTGAGGGAGAGGGAGGAAGAGACTTTATTGAGTACGTACGGAATGGAGGCGGTTTTTTGTCGGGTTTGTTGGGTTTGTTGGTTCCCCATGGCTGTTCAACAGAAAAGGAAACAATACTATTAGACAAGATAACACAAATTCAGTTTGTAAAATGAAAATCAGAGGAATTATGCTGTATAATAAACTATGGAGCATATCTTCTAACCTTCAGCACGGAAGGGACAGAGGGCCGCCATCCTGACTTAGTCTTCTTGTTGTCAAGTGCTCTGGTCTTGACACCAAGGTGCTTCATATAAAAGGCAACTGCTCCAAAGACGCAGTTACTGAAGGAAGTAAAAAGAACAGAACAGGTTACAAAGAATATTGAAATTTGAATACTGAAAAAAAACGCCGCTTTATAGCTTAATGTGTCATCAGCAACACTTCAACAACGTAATTTTGCAAATAAAAAAACTGTCATGTTAATTAGGGTTTCTGTGACACTTGATTGGTTTTAGGGTGGTTCATGAAATTATGGTATTTTTGGTATTCTAAGTAAGCTCAGATGTCCACAAAATTCAATTATGATATGCTTTATGAACACTATGTGCTTAAAATTCACAATTGCATAGACTGTATATATAAACACATTACTGCTTTTTTGAAAGTAGTCTTTCATGCTCAATAAGGCTGCATTTATTTTGTCAAAAGAGTAAAAATAGTCAAATTGTAAATAACATATTAAAGTAGAATAATAAAAATGTAAATAATACAAAAATGTAAACCGTAAAATATAAAATGTAAATTATTCCTGTAATGTTAAAGCTGAATTTCCCGAAAGACATTACTCTAGTATTCAGTGTCACATGATCCTTCAGAAATAATTCTAATATGCTGATTTGGTGATGTTGAAAACAGATGTGCTGAGAGCTCTGATGAATGGATTTTTTTTTACATTATAAAATGTATTTACTGTCCATTTTGATCAAATTAATGCATCTTTGCAGAAAAATTCATTTAATTTTTTAAAAAAACCTTACTGACCTCAAACTTTTAAATGTTAGTGTATATTTTTTATCCCTCAGAGTTCACTATACAAAAATTTATGAATGTCACAGTTGCAGTGAGACAGTTTGTGAACAGAGGTATTTCCCTCTGTGCAACTCGAGTCATGTGATCTGCAACTAGTCAGTGCAATCCCCTAGTGCACTATCAAATTGCCTAAGTGCCTCAGAGGGGATCTTCAATTGGCATCAAGCCATTTCCTTCACTTTAAAAGAACAACAGAATCTCCAATGAAGGAGGAGAAAGGGAGGAGGGAGAGGGAGGAGGACTGGAAAGGGGAGGGACAGAAGTCTGGAGGAGGAGACTGTGCACATGTGCATGTCCATTGTCTCATGCACACATGGATTAAGTGGCACAGCTGTGCAGGACAAAACGAACAACTGCAACAGCTGCAACTTTCTCATGGGCACATTGTGCACAATGTAACTTCAGCCTGGAGTTCTTTTCATAATACATGCTTATTTTGCATTTCTTAGCAATCAAATCAATCCAACCAAACAATATAAACGGTTATGAACGACTGATAACTTCATAAAAATAAAATTTTCATTTGAAAAGATGGGTTTACAACTACAGAAAAGTACATACTGTATATACTTTTACAACTACATAAAAGTGACTGTTTGATGACTTTAATTATATAAACAAAAAGTAAACACACAAAACTACACACCAATCTATAACGCAACAATGATCACAGAAAAAGACATGTGACTGACTTTTGCATTCTGCATCTGCACTTAAAAAAAAAGATAAGAAGATAAAGAAAAAAGACTCACCTTTTGTCCTTGTCAGCAACAATTGAGGGGCTGCAAAAAACAAAACATAAATAATTAGAGGGATATCAAAGGAAAAATGCAGCACAATGCTGGTCTAAAGGACTCACCGCTTAAAGTTAAGTAACATTTTTTCTTCCTCGTTCTCGACCGGTTTTTAACTCCGTTTTAGGACGGTGGAATCTAAAGGTTTCGAGCTTTTCCTGACTCAAAATGACAGTAACTGTTGTATTGTTTGTAAAAAAAAAAAAAAAAAAAAAAAAGATCTACAAAAAATTGTGGTGCATCAAAAAACCGCACTCAGGCAATTTTTTTTGAAATACAAAACAATGCAATGAAACAGTCTCTTGCAAAACTAGATGTCTGAGCTACACTATTTTCTCAAACTGCAAAAACTATGATGGCACTCTCCTAAGGCACTGAGGTTGTCCTACGGCGATGTCCAGAAGCAAGCAAAGTGCTCCAGCGGTGGAACTTGCCATTTAACTGTGTTTTTGCCTGATGCAACCGGCATGCAAGAACATGGAAATCAGATACTTATGTTTTCCTATGATAATAAAAAAGGAGGAGTGTGATAAGGAATCCCCAGCGTCTGGCCAATCAAAAACCTTGATCCGCCTCTCAGATTAAGAGTTCAGCCAATGAGAGCGTCTGTAAGTGAGGTCATTACTGTTGTACTGAGGGAGGAGCATGAATGAGGGAGAAAAAAAACTGTGCAAGAGGAAGTGGATAGTATTTGGGACAACAGAGGATGATTGTGTGAAAGCATATGAAGACTGAATACCCATATTGAGACCACTAGACATCAAAAGAATCCGTGTGAAGTCTCTGAGGATGCATTATGTCTCTAACAATGTCACTGAATGTGTGAGACACAATGTCTTCCATGCAGGTTTTTGTCACTTTACTTTGGCACAATGTCACTTTAGTCTAGCATATATTAACTATCCTGTCTCACTGCAAACCGGCTTTTGTCCCTCGCTCTTTTCCTCTCCCTGCTGGCCTCAAACGTGAGCCCTGCCTCATCCCCCTTTCCATCATTCTCTCTGGCAGAGAGCCAGAGAGCAGAGACTTCCTGCCAGCGTGGCATTTCTGACTCCATCCTCTCTCTACCACTTCCTCTCTCTTTGCCACCATTTCTTTCTTCGGGAATAATAGGACAGACTTCAAGTTGTAACATGGTGTGTTTTTAATAGAAAGAAAGAATGTGCCTAGACAGAGCATCCAAACCAGCTTGGACTGCATGAATCACGACAGCTGAGCACTAAAACAAATGGAGTCTGAATCAAACATTAAAGTATAGAGGCAAAATACATGCAATATAATGCAAAAACACAACATCATTCTGTCCGGCTGCATACTGAGCTTCTGATTCCTAAACAAATGACTCTTATAAGCCGGTTCTTTTAAAGAATCACAGTTTGATAAATCCTTACTTGGGCATTACTGAATCAACATCTGACTCACTATTCTCAGTCATGCAGAGACATTAACGGAGTAATGGCTGTGAAAATCCAGCTTTGCCATCACAGGAATGAATTACATTTTAAAATATATTAAAATAGAAAAAACTTATTTCAAATTGCAATAGCATTTCACAATATTACTGTTTTTACTCTATTTGTGATTTTTAAAAATGCAGCCTTTTGAATGCTACTGTATACAATATGTATTGTTGTTTTCATATATGTAGATAGGAACTACACTTATCTATACAGATGGGAAACATGATAAAGCTTTCAATAGAGGGACATGTGTGGTTCTTTTAGTGGGCAGTGAGCACCAGTTTATCCATGCTGGCTTTCATTGTGTAAAAATAATGAACTGAATCCAGATTGGCAATGTGTGTTCAACAGAGGCGAAAGGCTCAGCGGTCTCCTCCTGTCTCACTTCCTGCATGGGGGTCCTCACTTTCCGTGGGGTGTAATATTAATGCTTACAGCCCAGTGTTCACCCTATAATGTGAATCTACTGCACTCATCCACCCTTTGTGATGCCTGACAATTAAAGACCCCAAGTTGCTTTGCTTAAAGAAACGGTTCATGTAAAATTGAAGACTTCTTTTTTACTCTCACTCACATAATTGACTTTCTTTCATGGAGCACTCTAAATAATTGTTTGAATTGAAAACAGAAATGCTCTGATATTAGACTTCTGTTCTATATATATTTATACTGTTCATGTGATGTTGAAAAATGGCAGATATTTGCATTCATTTGATCAAAAATACAGTAAAAACTGTAAAAGTGTTCTGTGATGAAAAAGAACAGGATACATTTGAAATAGAAATCTTTTGTAACATTGATAACCATGTTAACTTCTTTAAAAATATATTCATCTTAAACTTTTAAACTGTGGAGTAAATATATATATATATATATATACACACACACATACATTTACATATATACACATACACACACTTAAATCACTAAGAAATAAAATCAATGATTTTACCAGTTACTTTATTTACATTATAACAGTATCAAAATGTTTAATAATAAGCAACAACTAAACATCTAATAATAACCAATAGATTCTTTAGAAAAATCTCTATTATTGGCAGCTAATCAATATGGTACTGATATACCGTGCATCCCTACATAGTAAGAATAGGATTATAGCAGACAAATCTGATAAACTACACTTATTATTGTTTTGTTTGTCCTTTTTGTTCAGAGAAAAGAGCAGCCTGGCGATTGCACTACATATCTCCTAAATATCTGTGTGTCATGAAAGACAAACATTATATTGGTTTTAAACCGTGCCCATTTCAGGTAAGCAACCATTTAACTTTTGCCTTATGTTTTCAAAAGGTGACTGAGTTGCATCAGTTTAAGCAAAGAAAGGCCCAATCCACAACAAAAGAACAATTTTAGAGCAAAGAATGAAGCTTCAATGGATATGTCAGCTGATCCTCAGTTAATTGAACTGCATATAAAGCACAACAGTGAGTGAAGTGAATTCTGATACTGCTATTATAGAATTTACTGCAAGGGGTCAAACAGCCCAGCAGCAAGAAGATCCTGTGCAGTATGACACATTCAATAGGCATCACTTAGCAGCCGGTGAGTGAATATCGACAGAGACTCGGGGGTTCTGATCCGCTGTGAATGCAGATTTGACAATAGTTGTATTCTGTCTAAGCGAATCGAGAGGGAGAAGTATTTGTGATTCTCTACCCCACTGCATACATGGTGTTTGACTCAGCAGGCCACCAAAAAAAAAAAAATCACACAGCAGGCAGTTACAAATCAGGCTTGGATTACAGGTTAGGCACTGCGGAGGGCAGCAAAAGGCAAAGGTCTGGCTCTGTGTTTCAGACAAGACCAGAGCACCTGCTGGTTCTTTCTCAACCATGACAAGAGAGTCAAAGAGAAACCAGACACACTGAAAACTGACAGATGGGCTAATTCCATCAACTAGGGACAAATTAATACCAATTCTGGTAGTAATATACAGACATGAAATTTACTATAATAACAGTTCTTACTTGGCCTCTACCATCTTTTCCAGTATGGATTCAGCTACTGCCTTCTCCTTCATCTCCATGGGGATGCGGTCGGTTGGACGATGGGATTCCACGTCATTTAGTTCATGCTCATTGGGAGTCATTCCCATCATCCTCTTTTGCCTAATGTGGGAAACAAGTACAGATAGACCGGTATCGTAATTGGACAAAAGGGATAGATGAGTACTTGTTACCAGGGCCTGACATTTAGCATTTCCAAGACTTTACAAAAATGTAATCTTACATATGTGAACATAATGTGCATTGTGAATGCCAAGTGCTCCAGGTTCACTTTATTTTGAAATACACTTGCGGGCCCCGTGACTCTCACCTGAAGTCCTCCAGCTGCCGCAGAATCTCTGGACTCTGCATGAACTGTATTTCATAAGCATAGCGTTTTTGTTGTTCTTCACTGATCATTTCTGGACGCATGCGATCTGAAGGATCACAGTGAGAGATATAAATGAATTTTATGCAACTACAGCAATAATACAATATTAACATTAACTGCAGTGATCTGATTCAGACAGAAGTTCACTCACCCAGTTCAGAGGCTATGTTATTTGGCACATGTACGTTGAGAATCTGGAAGAGAGAAGGAATGTGTTGGAAACAGTTCAATCCAAAATCTTGAAACGGACCAAATCAGGGCTCAGCATTAAGAATTTGCTATGCTGGTTTGACTTAACCAGTAGTTCATGTTAGAATGTTCATATAATGTATATTTATATATAGCTTATTTTTTAAATAAAACAAATCATAGAATTAGCATACATATAGAAAGGAAAATGATAAATAAATTACAATTAATTCCAGATTTTAATTAAAATAAATAAAATTGTATTAAGTGTGGAGGACATTATAAAATACAAGTTAAATGTTTTATATTTTATATACCTCCAGTGTTACATGTAATACATTACAGCACCACCAGAGGTCACAACAATATAAATAACCAGAGAACTACTTTCTTCCATTTAATTTTAGCTCAGTCCACACCTCCATAGCCTTAATGTCAACTCAAAAAATACGCAGAGAGAGAGAAATATTCAAAAGAAAAATAAAGACTCAACATAAAAATAAAACATGAAAAGGGGGAAAAAAGCAGCCATTCATCAGGGGAGGTCATTCCCATGACCCAAAGCAGGAAGTCAGGTCGGGCAAACACACAGATACATGTCTAAAACAGGGGTAGAAAATGCAGAGAAAAAAGTTACATTGGACAGAAGGGGCAGGCAGACAGACTGGAAGGAAAGGACAAAAACTTTGAATGATGAAATTAAGTCTAAAAAGAGACGGATCGGGGGAGAAACAGACAAGTGGGGAAATTATGACCTGATATATCATATGAAATTGAAAGAAAGAACTGGATAACATACTGTCCATTTCTAATGACATCTAATGAATGTCAGATGTATTCAAAGTATAGTCAGAAAGAACCATAAATCTCACCCATACCAAATATGACATGAAAAAACAGAAATAAAAACTTTATTAAATCCCATTACTGTAATCAAAAACAGCCCAACTTGACAAAGATTTGAGTAATTTTAATGCAAATTTTATTTCTATTTGTCTAAAATCACTGTTAATTACTTTATAACTATTATTCATTCAGTATTTATGACCTTCTATTACTTGAGGTTACATGGAACATTTGTACATGTAAAAACATTTTTTTTATGATTCATGAATAAATCTATTAAAAAAAACCTTACTGATAAAAAGCCATCCATGGATATGTGATGGTTATGCATCAACTACCATTCTGCACTTTTAACCAGAAATGTCTTTACAAATCATATTCCTATTAATCTGCCTCAATATTTTAGAAAACAATATACTAAAACATTAGACAGCTTTCTTCACTTTGCAAGAAAACACGCTTAAAGATAAGACTGACGGACAGCAGATCACCTGTGTGATAAATAAAATACAGCTTAAAAAAAAATCCCCAGCATTCCTTTAGGGGGTCTAACAAAAACATAGACAAGAAAACGAGGGGTGGACTGAAAAGTGTGACAGAACAAAGAGACAGACTTGTAAAGTGATAAACAAACTTGACAGCCGAATGTCTGGAACTCTTCTTGTTCACATACCGCTCCTTTTTCCAGGTAAGTGTTGTAGAATTCCCCAAAGTGCTTCTTGGTGTCTTTGGCATTGAAGTTCTTGAAGAGGTCAGCATGAAGGTAGCATAGCTAAGACAAGGGGAAAAGAAAGAGAGAGAGATCGAGTGAGGGAGATTAAAGAAAGACAAGCGCAACAAAACTGACATATTTAGACACCAAAAATAGAGGGATAGTAATACGTGCTATGTTAGCACATGCTGACCAGTGAGAAAATAGTATTAGGAGGGATGACAGGGACAAATTGACCAATCTAAAATTAAAGGGGTCATATGAACCAAATACACAAAATAATGTTCTTTTTAGCAACATCATATGACCCCTTTAATGAACACAACATAGTACCTGTTGGATTTGAAAGCAAACATAACTTGTCAAACTCAATAATATATAAGTACACAAAAGGAAAACAGTATAGGGCAAGATGTCCACCATGTTTTTGCCTTGACTTGACCACAGATATCACTAAATCAAATGATGAATGGTTGTGCTCTAAATAATTGACATTTGTTTCTGAACATCAACATCTGTGAGATTTATCCTATCTGAACAGTTTTGAGGTTAAATGTAGAAAGAGATAAAGGATTTGGGAGACGGTACCTGGGGTAGATCACATTGGCTGCATGCCAAATAAAGAAAGAAATACTCATGCATTAAATCACATGAAAAGGGTTTTATCTACATACATGACACACCCACCCCTCCCCAAACACACACATAACATTCATAGCTGAACAAGAGGTACTGTAAGAATCACGAGCCTCACATACTAAATTAAATGCATGTATGCGCTCTGACAAAAATAAACAGGCACACATCGTTTAAGTTCTTACCACAGGAGCACAGTCAAACTGTAACATGACATGATGAATGAAGACCAGTAGGTGGGTGGGCCTGGACTTCAACAGCTCAATACTGTTAAAGTGACTGCACTGATCATCCACCATCTGAGATAAAAAGGGATGAATAAAAATTAACAATAATAAAAAAGGGAAGTTTTTTTTTTATGTTTCTGAAAAATGTCTCCTATACTCACAAAATCTACATTTATTTGATAAAAAATACAAAATCATTAATACCGTGAAATATCATAACTATGTAAAAAAAAACAAAAAACAAAAAAAACACCTCTTCATTCTACTTGAATGTATTTTAAAATGTAATTTATTCCTGCAATGTCAAAGCTGAATTTTCATCAGCCATTACTCCAGTCTTCAGTTTCACATAATCCTTCAAAAATCATTCTTTTACGCTGATTTGATGCTCAAGCAACATTTTTATTATCAATGCCTAACTGTTTTGCGGCTAATTTTATTTTTGAGGAAACCAAGATCATTTGATGAATATAAAGTTCAAAAGAGCAGCATTCATTTAGGCAAGGCAAGGCAAGTTTATTTATATAGCACATTTCGTACACAATGGTAATTCAAAGTGCTTCACATGAAAGAAAGTAAAATAATCATAAAAAATAATCACAAAAATAAAACAAGGAATTTAAAAACTTTGAAAATAATTTAAAATGAATTTAAGACAGTTAAAAATAGAAAATGATTATACATAAAATAAGAAAACGATTATACATAAAATATAGTGCAATCAGTTCGGACGTTGCACAGTGCTCATTCAATAAATGCACAGCTAAACAGATTAGTTTTGAGTCTAGATTTAAATGTGACTAATGTTTTAGTACATCTGATCTCTTCTGGAAGCTGGTTCCAACTGCGGGCGGCAATGCAACCAAGGGTTGTGTGTCTTGGTATTTCTAACTGACTCGATCCTAATGATCTGAGTGGTCTGTTAGGTTTATATTCAGTGAGCATATCTGCAATGTATTTAGGTCCTAGGCCATTGAGTGATTTATAAACGAGTAAAAGTACTTTAAAATCAATCCTAAATGTAACTGGAAGCCAGTGTAAAGACCTGAGGACTGGTGTGATATGCTCAGATTTTCTGGTTCTTGTCAGAATTCTGGCAGCAGCGTTCTGGATGAGCTGCAGCTGTCTAATGGTCTTCTTGGGAAGGCCGGTGAGAAGACCATTACAATAGTCCACCCTGCTGGTAATAAAGGCATGAACAAGTTTCTCCAAGTCTTGACTGGAAACAAAACATCTAATGACTACTGACATGACTACTGAAACTAAGGTCCGTCTCCAGAATCACACCAAGATTCTTGACTTGATGTTTGGTTGTTAGACCCCTAGAGTCAAGGTATGCATTCACCTTGAGAACTTCATCTTTGTTTCCAAATGCAATGACTTCAGTTTTCTCCTTGTTTAACTGAAGAAACTTTTGGCACATCCAACTGTTAATTTCATCAATGCCTTGGCAGAGGGATTCAATGGGACTGTAGTCATTTAGTGATAAGGCTAGGTAAATCTGGGTATCATCAGCATAGCTGTGATAGGCAATTTGGTTCTTTCTCATTATTTGACTTAGTGGGAGCAT